TACCTTTCCTGGGGCCCCCTCCACTTCTCCCCCTTCAGCCCCCTCGGCCGCACTGGTTTCCTTCACACTTGCCTCCCTCCTCCTCTTCTGGGCAGGTACTTCCTCACTCCAACTCACCCTCTTTTTCTTCTTCCCCACGCCCAACGCCTCCATCTCCTTCAAGGACCTCTCCTTCAAAGGGTCTACTGGGGGCCGCCGCGGTACAAAATCTCCTAAGTTTTTCTCTCCCAAGGGTTTGGGGCAAGGTCGAATCCTCTCCCTCGCAACCGGCTTTGGTGGTCGGTCGACCTGGGACTCTTTGAATTGTTGGGCTTTAGCAAGGATGGCCTGATCCTCCGCCTCTTGAGCCCTTCTCCTCGCCTCCAACTCCGCTCGGTCAAGGTCCCCACTACTTGGCTTTGGACCCAACCCCGCCTCAAACAATGCCGATGGCTGAACGAGCTCGTCCCATTTGGCCCCTTCTCTCTCCCTCCACTCCTTCACCCTCTTCACCCTCCCCTCCGCAGCTGCCCCCAGTTTCGGCTCCACAAACCTGATGGGTACTTTCCAAACGGTGCACGCTCCAAGCCCCCCATTGGCAGACATGTAGAACCATCGCGGTCGCCACCCCTTGATCGATGACGGCAGACCCGCCACCAACCCCTTCCCCACTGCTGCCTACAGAGTGACCCACGTCTCCTGCTGCCCCGAAGCCTTATAGCACGCAAAGAATTCGTCTACCGTCATGGCCTCACCTCCATTTTCCTTCGGCCACGCACTTGCACAAGCTAGCAGGATCTTCCATGTGTTGGGCATTAGTTGCCCCGGTACTACCTCCAGACGGTTAAGCACAGCCACCACCATTTTCGGCAGTGGCAACCTCAGTCCACCCTTCAGAGCTTCCTCATAAAGGGAAAACTCTCCTGGCCTGGCGTCAGACGGCCTTTCCGTTGATGTCAGCAGCAATAACTCCACTTCCCCAGGGATCTGGTATTTTTCGCAGATAGCCTCTAACTCTACCTCAGTAATCGTGGATTTGTCAGCCTTCGTGTGCCAATGATCTGGTTCCGCCTGGCTGATTGGCTTTAGAACTGCTATCATGGTGAAACCGTGGGATCGTACCACCGACTCCCCCACCCTCTCTGTCCTATACTGCGCCACTAGCTCCACAGCATCATCATCTCCAAACGGGTTCACCCTGACAATCGTATTCCCTTCTTGGGCCATTTCTGTGGTTTGTTTGCGAATCGCTTCGGCGGCTGGAACAAGGAAATCGAAAAAGTGTTGCAGAGGTGTATTGTGAGCAACAAAGAAATCCACACTTGGAATATTTTGATTTTTCGTAAACAGGTAGGTGAATCGAATAATGCCAAAAGCCCACAGTTTGCCCGTATTCCAAGGATCCCCATTAATTTTCGCCAGTTTGAAAACTTTTCAAAATCATCCGCCAAAACTGTCTCTTCAACACCCATAAGGACTTACCGTTTCATTTCTGATCCAACGCCTAATCTTCCCCCCTACAGGATGTTGCCACGTGTACGCCCACGATCCACTGTCTCCTCCCCTTACCTTGTCTTTTCCACTTCAACTCACCACGTGACCCACCGCGTCTCGAGCCCCACGCCCGTCCACCTCACCCTTCACGGTCGGCCCTTCTTACTGCCGACCATACCACTCGGCCAACACCACGGTCGGCCCTCCTCGCGGTCTGCCCTCCTCGTGGTCAGCCCTCTAGCTCGGCTAACACTCAGGTCGGCCGTCCTCGTGGTCAGCCCTACCACTCGGCCAATACTGCGGTCGGCCCTCCTCGTGGTCAGCCTTCCCGCTCGGCCAACACCACGGTCGGTCCCCCCCGCCCCCTCGCGGTCGCCCCTCCTTGGTGTCGACCGTCCCGCTCGGCCAACCTCGTGGTCGGCCCTCTCCGTGATCGGCCCTTCCACTCGGTCGCCCTGCGCAGTCGGACCACCTCCCAGTCGGTTCACCTCCCGGTCGGTCCACCCCCTCGACCACCTCTTCCGGTCGACCTCCATCCTACCAACCCCTAGCACACTCATCTACATCACTAATATTCCCTTTGTTGGACTAAAGCTGCACTCGGGAATAGGGGACTACTGATAGGTATAAGCCCATAAAGGCCGCGAATCACCTATGGCCCATCACTTGAAGCCCAGTGCATAACCCAGCTGGTGAGGTCCAGGACAGCTGGAGTCCAATATGACATAAAGAGCCAATGACATTCAGACACACGGCAAGAGAAGGACGAGCCATATCAGTAGACAAAGATCTGCAAAGTTATTGCCACTACACATTACCATTAATGCAGCCCATCACAACATTTATTACGACAACACCTCCTCGTCGAAACAGGACCCTCCTTACCCTGAGCAAGGTAAGCTACAGCATAGGCTTTCGGCGAGGAGAGCAGGTCGGAAGGGACAGCGAAATGATTACCAAAGGATATAAGCGAACGTTGTAGATAAGAAAAAGGTTAAGCTTTTCTATCCCTAACCTCTCCCTCTACACATTACTTCTCTTTCTAACTTGTTCGTCGGAGAGTTCACTGGGGAACTACCCCGTTCCCCGTTGAACTTGCCTGCAGGTTATCCGGTGGGCTTGATCATTTGGACGCGGGCTTGAGGAGTTTGAACCTGCCCGATCCATTCACTGGGACGAACAGCATTATCAATATTTTTTCACAATATTTTTTTATTTTTTAAATACATCTAAATAAAGTGCATCTAAAAAAGTAAAAAAAATGTTTAAAATTTAAAAAATATTCATTAAAAACAAAAAAACACGAAAACTAAAAAAATCAGTTTTCAAAAAACTTAATCTAGAAAACTCAAACCAAACACATTGTAATTTTATATAATTATTGAAATTAAAATTTTTTTTGTCTTGCATCTTCAATTATAATTATTATTATTATTATTATTATTATTATTAATTTTGAAAAGGTAGATTTAATATATTATTTAAAAATTGAATTTACAGTTATACCATTATTTCTATTATTTTTCTTTTTCTTCTTTCTTTCTTTCTTTTTTCTTTTTTAGTTTTTCTTTTTGTGTTAGAAACATAAGATACACATTATAATAATCAAATTTTGGATGAATTTTTATATGAGAACCTTTTTATTTAGAATGACTTGAGATATGGAATTTTTCAAACATTCCAAAAAGAGGTTAGATTGTTCAAATATTTCAAAAGAAGTACAAAAACTTCTCAATAAGGTTTGAGTAAATGTATAATTTCAATATGTAACACTCCAATATAATACTCAAACGTAACACTCCAAAAAAAAACTCATTATTATACTTTTTTTCAAACGTAACACTCTAATATAACACTGCAAAAAAAGACTCCTTAGTGTAGCACTCCAATATAACACATAAAAAAATTTCGTAGTGTACTTTTCTTAAATGTAATATTCTAATATAACACTAAAAAAAAAAATATGTGGGATTCTTCATACCATTCTAAAAGGGTATGAGATTCTTCAAACCATTCTAAAATGAGTACAAAAATTCTTTAATAAGCTTTGGATAAATGTATAATTTCAATCTGTGAGTGTTACGTATGGAAAAAATACACTAAGTAATTTTTTAGTGTTTTTATGTGTGTTACATTGGAGTGTAACGTTTGAGATTGTATTGATTGGAGTGTTACGTTTGAAAAAGTATACAAAGGAGTTTTTTTGGTGTGTTACATCGAAATATTACGTTTGTGATAAGTTCGGAGTGTTACATCGTTATGTTTGGAAAAAAATATATTAAGGAGTTTTTTAGTATGTTACATTGAAATGTTACGTTATTAGAATGTTACATTGGAGTGTTACGTTCTTATTCATAATGTAAGATTTGTTTTAGAATGAAAGAAAATTCAAAACCTCTATAGTACAGATTGTCTAAATGTGTAATTTCATATTTGGAGAAACTCATTTTCATTCCTCAAAAATTAAATCCAAATATGTAAATAAATATTTTTTTGTGTAATTTTCATTTTAATAGGACCTTTAAGTTCATGAGAAAAAAGAAAGAATTAAACAATTTATAAGATCACATTTTGAGTTTTATTAGCGCTTCATCCTATTATTATTTGCCACGTCTTGGTAATTTGTAAATTATTGGTTGGCCGTTGAGGAAGGGAGGCAAATGTAAAAAATGAAGAGCTTTTCCCTACCTACAAAACAAAGATTTCCATATTAAAAATAACTCTGTCCCAAAACAATTACAATACTTTGAAAATTTCAAGGTTGGTGATTCTTTCAATATAATCTAATAATTGTAAGTATTTTAAAATTTAAAAATAAAAATCTAGATGTCATGTATTGAATTATACATTTATCATATTTTTTTAATCTAATTTGGTTTAAGATATGAGTCAAACATTCACAAGAGTAATGCTACACTTAAAATATTTTAAGAAATGTTTTACAATATTTTAAGAAATGTTCCATGATTCCATCCTTTCATTTTATCACTTCCAATACTTTTAATGAGCTGACAAATAATACCAACCAATCAACTTTCTTCAAATTTTTTTTTCTCCTTTCAAAAGTATTTACTATCTAATTAAAGGTGTAGTTGAGAATGATGAAATAAGGGATGTAGTGAATATTTTATACCACAATTAGTATATCATTTTATGTGTTAACATGTTATTAATACTCATCTCGTATGTCTATCTGTTATACAGTGTTAACACATAAAATTGTATAAAAAAAGTGCTAAAAGTGGTATTACTCCATCCACAATAATTACTATAAGTCTCACCACACTTATATGTATCCGACCATTTTTTCTACTAAAATCTCTCTGTTAAACGATGAACTTTTTGAGTTGTTTGTTTGCTTAATTTTCTTTGAGGAAATTACTTGCAGGTGATAATCACAGATAATTATTATATATATATATGTATATATGTATAAAAATATTTATAATTTAATTATTAATATTAATAAAATTTATTACTATAATTATTTTTTAAATTAAAAATGTTCCATTTTCTTTATGCTGCAGTACTTTAAGGAGACAACCCCAGAATCATGGTTGGACACCAAGTTTGAATCCTGTGGAACGCCTGAAGTGCCCCTAACATCCGTGTGCTTTGGCCCCAAATACATGGCATCCAAACTCTACCAACTGTGCCCCATCCAAGTAAGCCATCCTCTCTCTCTCTCTCATGTGCACAAATTAATCAAGAAATCCAAGAACAGGGAAATTAAGCATAGAATAGAATACAAAAAATATTAAAATAAATCATATTGATAATTCTTATATTTTATCAATTGTGCTATTTTGGTCTCTATCAGTTTAATTAGTTCGATTTTGACACTGAAACTTATTTTGGTCCCTATCATTTTAATTAGCTCGATTTTGACTTTTTAACTCCATTTATTTTGATATAAAATATTTTACTTGTAAAATAATTTTAATAATCTTTTTTCTAATGTTTTTTCAATGAACCTAATAAAAAATTCAACAAAGGTGAAACTTTTTACAAAACTCACTGTAAATAATGATAAATTGACATTTCATTGCAAGCCTAACTGAGAGGGTAATTTATAAGTAAATTGGGCCGAGCTGGGTAATGAGCTGTTTCTATGGGCCACAGTAAGAATGACCAAGTAAAAGGGCCTTCTTTTTAGCTCCGTCCAAAAGAACCTTGTAGTTAGCTCGGTCCCAGAGAGCCTTGCAGTTAGCTCGATCACCACGGTTAGAGTGGTAGTAATTAGCTTGGTCATATCCTTCTAAGCCAAGGTATTTTGAGCTTTCTTGGGGACCTTGCTCTAGATTAGTTCGGTCCAAACTTGCTATGGTTAGCTCGGTTTCAACAAGCGAAACCGAGGTACAAGTTATGAAGGAAAGAACCGAGCTAGTCAGAGCTCGGCCATTACCGCCAGTTTAGCATGGCCATGTTGGCTCGGTCATTTTGTCATGCTACCGAGGTAAAACCATCTCACTTGGTTTAACCAATGAGGGGGGTGTTGAAGGATAAGAATTATCTTTCAGGAGTGTGATTCCTATGAGGACTCTACATGGAGGGATACGAGTCCTACTAGGATTGTGCCACGCGGAACCTATAAAAGCTCACAACATAACCTATGGAAGAGGTAACGCAACTTTGATTCTCGATTACATAGAGCTTTTGTCTATTTTGCTGACTTAGGTATCGGAGAGGTATCCGGCACACACCCGCCGGCTAGCTCACGCTTGTGTTTTCAGGGAGAAAAGCGACGTCGTACGGAGGAGCGCAAGCTTGATCAACAGGATCATACGAGAAGAATTATTTCGTGCTCATACAATTGGCGCCGTCTGTGGAAATTTCACAAAGAACAAAACCCCTTGATCAAGTTTTCCTTGTTAATTGAAAGTAATGGCGTACAACGAAGATTTGCCATAATCCGCTATCGACGGACAAACCCTTGAGGGGGGTGGGAGGCACGAAGGCTTGCCCTCTATCCCTCCCATGGCGGATTTAGAACCCCAGCAACAGAACCCCCGGAAGGATGCAAGGGGGAGGCGGGGTAACAGTCCACGTCGCTCTCGCTCACAAAGTCCTGAAAAACAAAGGCGGAGGATCGCGCGTGAAGGAGCAGGACGAATTGATAAGAAGGATGGCGGCAGACATGGAATTGATGAAGCGCCAGATGAAAGAAAAATGAGTGGCAACAGGAGAGGGGTGCAAAGGCAACACGCCCCCTCGCCACTCGAAAGATCATGGTAGGTATACCACACCATCACAAGCAAAGAATGGGAGCCTTAGAACAGGCGATACTCAATCAAGGACTTCTAGGACTCGTTACTCCAGGTCTGAGAGAACGAGGACTGAGAGGACATATACTGAGAGAAGCACCTATCGGCCCTCGCGCATGCACCAGACATCATCTAGGCACACGGAGTTGCCTAGATCATCCGACTTACGAACAGTGCTTGAAGAAAGGGCATGATGGAAGGAAGATATCAGGACACGCGACCCGTGCAGAGTCTCAGCCCTTCAGCGGTTGGCTCCTCGGACGTACAGAAGCGTCGAGGTAGGAATGTCAATACCGCGCCTTGCTTACGAACCAACAGACAAAGCATTAGCAAGGCTGCACACCTCGCCGTTTGTTCCGGCGATTGAGAACGCACCCCTACCATCAGGCTTCCTTCAGCCCAAATTCACCACATATGAGGAGAAGACAGACCCTTACTTGCACTTGAGCCACTTTCGCCAGGTTATGGCAGTATATCGGCGAAACGAAGCTTTAATGTGCATCTTATTCCCATCCAACCTTGGCGACCTAGGTCTGACTTGGTTCGAAAGGCTACCAGAAGGCAGCATCGCCTCCTGGGCACAATTGGCGACCCTACCATCAGGCTTCCTTCAGTCCAAATTCACCACGTATGAGGGGAAGACGGACCCCTACATGCACTTGAGCCACTTTCGCCAGGTTATGGAAGTATACCGGCGAAACGAAGCTTTAGTGTGCATCTTATTTCCATCCAGCCTTGGCGACCTAGGTCTGACTTGGTTCGAAAGGCTACCAGAAGGCAGCATCGCCTCTTGGGCACAATTGGCAGAGGCGTTTGTGACTAGGTCCAGAACGAACACCAAAACACCGGTGAAGACCGATCAGCTACTCTCCATTGAAATAGGCGACAAAGAAACATTGAGATCCTACAATAGTCGTTATTTGGAGACTTTCAACTAGATAGGGGATTGCCCTACAAGCCTCGCTATTGCGCAGTACAAACGGGGCCTGCCAATTGGCAATAAGTTCAGGGACTCAATTACTATGACGCCACCCTTCACGATGGAGGCCTTGATGGAGCGAGTATATCAACATATTCGCGTAAAGGAAGATGGCGTCCGTGCTAAGGCAAAATCTGGCACAACGACAACACCAGATAAAAAGACTACAGCAAAAGTCAACACGGTGGAGCAATCAAGCAAGAATGGACGAGGCAGGCGGTCCTACAAAGAGGATCCAGACAAAATGTGGCTAAGAGTTCGCACTGCCATTACCACGGTATTCAAGAAACCAATCTACCGAATCCTCAGTGAGATACGCAACAAACTTTTCGTTAGATGGCCAGCCAAGTTGGGGGAAGCACAAAAGGACTATGACGAAATGTCCCGGTGCACCTTCTATGACGAGAGGGGGCACCACACTAAAAATTGCATGCCATTGAGACAGCATTTGGAGGAATTAGTGGTAGCTGGGCACCTGGACCAGTACATAGAAGGAGGGGCACAACCAGCCCCCCAAAACCACAACGCTCTAAATGGGATGCCAATCGACGCGCCACCTCAAGGCGTGATCAACGTAATACATGGAATATTCGAACTTGAGCGGGTATGTGAGCTCAAGGGGATGATCAAGAAGGCTGAGCACTTAAGGGAGGTATTAAGTGCATAACCTGCAATAAAAAATGGGAGAACAGAGGCCACGAACGTCATATCCTTTTCAGACAGAGACTTGGCAAAGATATATTGCCCTCATAATGATGCACTGGTCGTCACCCTCCGCATCAAGGATTACGACATCAAGCAGATTTTGATTGACCAAGGAAGCTCATGTGAGATAATGTACTACGAAACCTTCAAACAACTGAAACTGGAGGATAAAGACTTGGCGCCTGCGACATCTCCCCTGGTCGGATTCAACTCAATGCCAGAGTGGCCAGTGGGCAAGATAATCCTTCTAATCAGAGTAGGAAACATGACAAAACAGGTAGAATTCTGGGTATTGAAAATCCCTTCCACCTACAACATAATATTGGGGAGGACATGGTTGCACGCCATGCGATCGGTAGCGTCAACCTACCATCAAGTATTGCGGTCCCCCAACAAAGCTGGAGTAATTGAAGAGGTCTTTAGAGACCAAATTATGTCCAAACAGTGCTTCGTCACAGTAAATGGCAGCCGCGCTGCCAAAGGGTACGTACAGATGGTAGAAGAACCTGAGAGTAATGAACTGTTTGCGGATGTTGGCAGGACCGCTGAACAGAAGGCAGTGGAAGACTTGGTACAGGTAAGAATAGATGAAAAGGATCTAGAAAAGTTCTTTTTGCTTGGCTCGTCATTGTCCAGCACTGAGAGGACAGAGGTCATGGAATTCTTGACCTCTAACATCGAAGTGTTCGCCTGGACGCCGTATGACATGCCTGGTATTGATCCAAACTTCATCTGTCACCAACTGAACGTCCACCCACTTGCCAGACCAGTCATACAACGCACTCGCAGATCGGCACTCCACCACGCTGAGATAGTGGTTGAAGAAGTGGGAAACCTTCTAGAGGCAGGAGCTATCAAAGAAGTCCACTATCCCAAGTGGATATCCAATACAGTCGTGGTGCCAAAGAAGAATGAAAAATGACATGTTTGCGTGGACTACAAAACAATAAACAAGCCATGCCCAACAGATAGCTTTCCCTTGCCCAGGATAGACCAATTGGTAGACTTAACGGCAGGGCACAATCGACTTAGCTTTCTTGATACGTATAGGGGTTACCATCAGATCGCTATGTATGAACCAAACCAGGAGGTCACATTCTTTACAACGCCCAGAGGGTTGTATTGTTATAAGGTCATGCCTTTTGACCTAAAGAACGCAGGGGCAACATTCCAACGGATGGTCACCAAGATGTTTGAACCATTGTTAGGCATAACAATGGAGGCTTACATCGATGACATGGTGGTCAAGAGCAAGAATGAGAAGGACCACCTCAGGGACTTAGGTGAAATGTTCCAGATCTTGAAGAAGAACAAGTTGTGCCTCAATACTTCCAAGTGTGCATTCGGCGTAGGATCAGGCAAATTCTTAGGTTTCTTGGTAACCAATCGAGGTATTGAGGTAGACCCCTCTCAGATCAAAGCAATCCAGGATCTAGAGAGGCCTAACACAGTAAAAGAAGTGCAGCATCTCACCGGCCTAGCAGCCGCCCTCAACCGGTTCATAAGACGGTCGTTAGACAGATGCAGACCTTTTTTCCAAGCTTTAAAGGCCAAGTTGAGTGGGATAAAGAATGCGACCGCGCACTAAAGAACTTGAAAAAGTACATGTATTCTCCACCATTGTTAGTAACCCCAGTTCTTGGAGAAGAGCTCTTTGTGTACTTAGTAGTTTCGTAGCATGCAGTCAACGTGGTGTTGGTCAGAGCAGAAAGAATCC